CCGCTCTCTGGGCAGCGCCGGCTCGCGGCGGCACGCGCCTGGGCCCCGCCCCCTCCGCCCCCTCCCATTGGCTCCGCGCCCTTTGATTTACGTGGATACCGCTAGCAACCTCCCAGGCCGGCGCCCCTGATTGGTGCAGAGCTGCCCCCACCCTCTCCCCCGGGCGCGGAGTCCTTCTAACCCTCCTCCGGTCCCCCCCCTTGCCTCCTGATTCAGATTCTCTCAGTTCTCACCCCACCTTCTTCTCCTCCCAGGCCTCCTCCGCCCCATCCCCGCTGGGCCCCGCCCCCATCTGTCTCCCAGGCAGTGATGCCCGGGGGAGGGGGGGGGCGGTCCCTGCACTCATAAAGACCATTGCCACTTGGAAAACTTGGGGCGGGGGGTGTCCACTTTCTCTTCCAGATCGGACTTTGAGATGGGGACTGGGAAGGAGGAGGAGAACATCTGGGTCTCACACAGCCAACGGGATTCAGATTTTTATTCACCTAGGGACACGCACACACACATGCACATAAGTACACGCACACACACACATACACAAACACACACCGGCATCTCTTAAATCTAGAGCCAGGAGCCACACTTGTCCTTCTGTTGAAGTCTCCTTTCCCCCAAGGTTAGACTATCAGTGCACAAATGCCTCTTGCTCCAGGGTGTGCAGACCTTTTGCCCTAGTGAAGGTCCTCTCCTTCTCCTCCACCCCGAGGCTAGCTCAAGGTCTGTTCCTTTTAGGTCCCAGGACCAGCTGTCTCCTAGCCCCTGGGCAAAAGGACTCTTCCCGAAGCAGGCTCATCCAGCGCCGGGGCTTGTAAGCGACTCCTGTCAGGCGCGGAGTTGCCGGCTCTGACAGCGCGGTTGTCTGAACCGAAAACAAAACTCTCAAACTCTGTCAGATTCACGCGCCGGTGCGCGCACTGTTTTTGGTTTAAGAAGCTAGAAGTCTGCGTGGGCAGGCCTTCGCACTGTGCCAGGCGGTAGGAGTGCTGGCTAGGGGTGCTAGGCAGTCGGTGCGGCGGAGTAGTTTGGGGCAGTCTGGGAAGCCACGCTAGGAGGGCTGCGTGCGCATTTCCCCGCGATCCTGGCGCTCCTACGCACAACTTTTCAGTTCGCCGTTTCGAAAGGGAGCGTTTGTGAAAGCAAGTGATGATGCTAGGGTTACCTTCCTAATCAGTAACTTCTGTGGGAGCTAGAGGGTGGAATTAGTCTCACTAAACTCTCAGGCGCTCGCAGGCCGAGTTCTCTGCTCCTCCTGCAGCCTTGAACTCCAGAGAAGGACCGCAGGGCGGTGCACCCGCCGCGCGGTTCTGCTGAGCGTGAGCGTGCCGCTCGGTCAGTTCTTTAGCCTCCCTGAGCAGGTGCCTGCAGCGGGTTTCGGAGCCTGCGAACAGGATAGCAGGAACCCGCGCGGAGAACAGACGCAGGGCGGGCGTAAGGCACGAATACTGCAAAGCGAATCAAAAGTTACAGCCCAGAAGGGAAAGATAGACCCCAGGGAACGTGAATAGCCTCTATACCTTCTATCCCTAGCCTCGCGCATTGTGGCACTAGCCGTGGCTCTCCTGGCAGTCATGGGCTTGTGAAGAAAGCCAAATTAACGCTCAGAGCGAACATTTTGGGGCCTCCGAGCGTCTTAATCGCGACAGCAGAGTGGAGCGGGCCAGAAAATTCATCATGACTAACGAGGAGCGCTGCTCTTTGGGGAGTGGCTGAGCTGTTTATAAATCACCACGTTGAGCACCCGCCCGGGCACGGCGCTTTGGCTGAGAATTTCCACGTGTCCTGTGTTTATGAGTGTGTATGTGGGAGAGAGAGATGGTTAGGGGAGGGGCGAGCGAGCCCGCAAGCCGCCAGCAGGACCGACCTGCACCCCCCCACGCGCGCACCCGCGCGGCGAGGCGAGGACACACACCGCGTGGCGCTTGGTTCCAGCGCAAGCGCGGAACCACTGTGGCCGCACGCCTCAGGGCTGCTAGGAATCCTGTAACTTTGTTCCGCTAGGGGAAAAATTTGAAAGTTCTAGCTCCGGTGCGCGCAGACTCGGCGGCTCCTACGCGGCGAGCGAAGGGGCTGGGCGGCGGGCAGAACCACCTACTTGGGGCTTCAACAGGCCACTCACCGGCCGTCTTCCCTCCCTGCTAGCTGCGCCGTCCTTATTCTCCTGCCCGGGCTCAGAGCTCCGGTTGATGGAATAATCCAGCGGCAGGAAGGTTACGTAGGAGTGCTAAGCAGTTTTCCCCCTAACCATTCTGGGAAAGGTTTCTGCTTTTCTTTGGCTTTAATTGCACATTTCTCGAGGGACTAGGCCCTTTGCAGCTCAAAGGATGATACTCTGGAGGGAAAAGTTAAGTTTCTGGACGCATCTTCAAGTGAACTGAGTCCATTTAAAAACCTTTCTTCCCCATTCCCTTCGGGTATTCGCCTCCTCCTTCTCCCCTCACCGGGCGCTAGTGTGCCAGGGCGAGAATGGGCTGCACGTGTACATCAAAACTTACTGTCTGAGAAGAGACTTAGCTGGCGATTAAAGCTCAGAGATCCCACGTTGACGTCCCAGGTCTCCACTCCACCCCCAACCCGCGCCTCATTAAGCTGGCTGGCTAAGAAGCCAGCCGAAACGTCCCGGACTGGGTGAGTCCCAGCAGTTCTGCAGGGTTTAATATGCCCAATAAATCCCCGGGTGTGGGTGTACACAAAGCAATGCCCTACCTCTGGGCCCGAGCCTCTGCACCCCACCCCCATCCCTGGAGCAGGGCCAATCGCTGGGTCGGCAGGGCTAGGCTCTCTGTGGCTCAGAGTACCACCTCTCCCCAGCTCCCCAGCCACTGCCTCCTCCCAGCCTGTCGCTGGGGGCCCGGTTGGCGCGAACACTGGAAGCTGAACAGCCTGGGCTTCCCTGGCTGCCTCCCCGAGCGGCACCTTCCAGGGGCTCGGAACCTAGCTCTGGCATGTTTCAGCTCCAGATGCGGTGTCCCCCACATCCTCTCCTCTCTCCCACCCGCGCGAAGGCTGTACTGTGGGCTGACCAGGCCAGGGCAGAGTCGTGAGTCTGCCTGTCTTTCTCTGCCGCATAAAAGCACATTGATTGTGTCTCAGGCAGACACCTCCAGGTTTTGATTCAGCTCATTCTTTCCTCTGTTCAAAGCAGCTGTTCAAATACAGAGGCTGCTTACGGTGACGTGGAGAGGATTTCAAACAACCCTAAAATGCTTTGAACTGACAAGGTGTCTTGATATCTCCCTCACTCCAGCACAGCTCCTCGGAGATCACTCGCTAGGACAATGGCTGAACAGGCTGCTTGAGCGGGCCTCGCTGCCTGCTGCCTCGGGCGCAGACTGCCAGGTCCCCTGAGCCGCTTTTGTGAGACCAGGCTAGAGGCACCTTGTGAGGAATTCCTGGCGCTGGTGCCAGCCTAGCTCCTTCTCCCAGGTCTGGAGGAAGGGCGGTAGTCAGTCGATATCCAGAACTGTACTGAAGAAGTGGTGCTCGACTTCCTGCCAGGAACGCTGCGCAGAAGGGAAACCAGGCATTTCTGAGCTACCGCGAAAAGACTCCCCTCTTCATCCCGCACCCTTTCACACTCCTCAACAGCGTGAGCAGGACCTGTGTTGGGGCAACCCCCAACACCTACCCCAGGTCCCCTCCCCCCAAATATTCACTTGAGTAACAGTTACAGGATCACTCATTATAACTGTAACTCTTTAATGAACTCATTCACTAGTAAGCACACTCACACCATACGTAAAATATCATATGTATTTCTATATATCAGGCGTTGGCAGAACCCCTCCCATCGCCACTCCCCTTACATGGAGCTGGAAGCAGTAATTTACACAGAGGTGAAATGACATTGATTTGACAGGATCTTCACCCCCCCTTATTAATATAATCCCAGAGTATTCGAAGTCATGAAACAACAGAAAATAAAAGGAAATTTTCTTAGGAAGTGGCTGACAGGGGAGTGGAGGTGGCAACTGGCTTAAACTTGTGAAACTGCCCACTGATGTTTCTTTTTTAAAAAAAAAAAATATATATATACACCTTTGTGGGGGGGGGAGGATTGTTTGAATGTTCCTTCTACCATCTCTCTCTTCCCCATCCCTGTCCCACCCAGTGA